GTACCTGCATGTGAACCCAAAAGTCACCGGTTCAATTCCGAGTCAGGGCACATGCCTGGGTTGTGGGCCAGGTCCCCAGTGGGGGGCACGCAAGAGACAACCACGTATTGATTTTTTCCCTCTCCCTCTTTCTCCCTCCCTTCTCCTTTCAGAAAAAAAAAATGTAAATAAATTTTTAAAAGTAAAGAAACATACCCTACTGCATTCATTACAGGAAGGGCCCCAGTTTGACACACGGAACCAAAGTTTACAAAGTAAATGGTATTTTTAATATTAACCTCGTTTTTCTTAGAATTTGTTTTTGAATGTTTTTGTTTTTTCATTCGTGTCGATGTTATATGGGGTTTCAAAAGTCAGTTATCACCAAGTCTGTTGCAAAACAGAGTCCCATTGCCTCCCTTTCCCCATCCTTTCCCTGTGTGCTAATGACATCTCCAAGGTCCCTTTCCTCTTGTCTTCCTGGGCTTTCAGGAGAAAATAATGTACATATTCTGACACTATCATTACTTGAAAGCCATTTTCTCATGATTTAGAAGAGAAATGGAAGATAAATTAGACGGCGAATATTTTCCCTGTAGTGAACGAAACATTTAAAATCATTCCTCCAGCCACACTCAAGTTTGGGGTTACAAACAATCCCAATACTGCATCACTTGAGCACTTGAAGGACTCACTGTGATGTCCGTCTCGAGCGTTGGGAGCAGTCTCGGAATCCTATGTTTCCCTCCGTCTTTGCCTTTTTCTTTTTTCCCCACGTGTCCTGTCTACTCCCAAGACAGGCCTGAGCAGAGGGGAGAAGGGTGCGGGGAGCATTTTTGGGCTGGCTCAGGATACTGAGTCTGAGGACTCTTCCACAGGTTGGAGATGGGCAGGGAGAAGAGCCACTTCCTTTGCTATTCTTTTGCCTTCCAAAGCCCAACAACAAAGCTCTAGAGTTAAAGCTCTAGAGTTGATTAAGAAGAAAATGGCCCTTAAATGTGAAATACAGGCGGCTCATTCAGCACTGCTAAGTGAACCAAATGTGAAAGAGTGAAACGCTTGCCTCAGGAAAACAAGCTTTTTCTCCATCCACAAATTTCCTTGGCTATCACTTCACAAACATAAATAAGCTTGAACTATGGTCACGTCTGAAATTTGACCTAATTGTACCTTTACAACTATGTGCTGGCTAATTACTAACTAGAAATTTGAACGTATCAGAACGAAAACAAACATCAGACAGAAGGAGTACTATGGGGTGAGAACCAAAACCTCCAGCAAGTTCCTTTTAACCAGTGGTGAATGAAACCATTATTTCAAGTATTTACCTTAATCAAAATTAAGCCCTGGGTGACAGTTTAGTCCCACAAATATATTGCTGGTCCCCTTGACAGTGTGGCGTTTGCATTAGACTGGGTGAGTGCATGGAATTAAAAAGTAAAAACTTTTATGCTCAGGGTAAATCATTCAGCTTACATAATGAGCATGAATGCAAGAAAAAAAATGTTTCTCGAAATATCAAGCCTTCCCCATAAGATGAGTGCAAAGTATATTCATTAAAACAGAACAATGAAAGCTCTGGCTGGGTAGCTTGTTGGAGCATTGTCCCAGTGCACCAAAGTGGCAGGTTCAATTCCTGGTCAGGGCACATATGAGAAGCACCCAATGAATGCCTAAATAAGTGGAACAATGAATAGATGTTTTTCTCTCTCTCCCCTCTCTCTCCCCCTTCCCCCCTCTTTCTAAATCAATTTTTAAAAAACAGGACAATGAAGAGAACAGAATCTCTTTTCCTGCTGAAATCAAAGATTCTGAACTTTATCTTTAAATTAATACAAATCAGTTATACTCACTACATGGCCTAATTTTAACTGTCATTGATTTGGTAGTTAACCATAAGCAAGCCACATTTTTCCACCTTATATTTGTGAACAGACATTTTGCCTCGACTTAGAACTTTGCTTTTTTTTTTTTTAAGATTGTATTTATTTTATTTTTAGACAGGAGAAGAGAAAGAGAAAGAGAGAGGGAGAAACATCCATGTGTGGTTGCCTCCTACACACCCCCAACTGGGGACCTGGCCTGCCACCCAGGCATGTGCCCTGACGGGGCATTGATCCAGCAACCCCTTTGGTTCGCAGGCCGGTGCACTCAATCCACTGAGCCACACCAGCCAGGGCTCGACTTTGAACTGTCTTTAGGCCACCTGGATATAACGTCATTGATCCATTACACAGGCCACTACTGGGCTGGGATCCAGCACTGCACTTAAGACAAAAGCTGCTGACTCAGTAGCCCAGGCACCTGCTACTTCACTGGCCGGGTGGGTGGTCCTTCCTATTGTACTACTACTGTTTTGATTTTTTATTTTGGTCCAAGAGGTGACACAGGTGATAAGACTGATGAAGACATTTTTTAGTGCTCCTACTCCCTTTCTTCCCCACTGAAGCAACTGCTTTTAAAGCTTGATTTCTAGCCAAGTAATTTTTCTTAGGACTCCAACTACCACATCATAGAACAGACTACACCATACTTGTCTCTTCAGATGAGTCGAAAGCACTCTGTATGGTACAAAACATTCTCTCCAAACCCCCTGAAGTTATTCAAATGGAACTATGCTGAAAAAGTTACAGATAGACTGGATTGAGATTCATAGTTTTATCATAAGGGGAAATGGTCATAAGAAACAGAAAAAAAGTGTAAATGTTAAGCAGGGAGTATTATCTCAGGACAGAGAAAAATAGTACAAGTATACTGAGGTCAGAAATAAGCCAAGGAAGGAAAGGTAGGAAATAGCACTCTAAAAAGTATAAAGAGCTGAAGAAATGCAAGATAGTATGATATGCAAATTTTATATTCCCTACAGTTGGGTGTTCATGGAAGGCATGCAAGAAGTGTTCAATATAAAAAGAAGGCAGCGCTAGGTACAAATAACCACAAAAGGAAAAGATCAGAGTGCAATATAAAGGGTAACTGAGCTACACTGACTGGGATGTGAGTCCACTGCTGTCCTTGGTATGGGTCAGGCACCACTAGGATCAGGGCCTGTGACCCCTACTCCTACATCCCCCCTGGAGAGGTTGAGAGGTGTTGAGGCAATGTTTCAATATTGAATAAAGGGTTAAAAAGGAGAATATCTTAGGAGGCACTCAAATACCTTTTGATTAATGATCCCCAGAGCATGCTGTGACGTGGGCCATTCCTTCATCTTGCCTAGATCAAGCAATCTCAAGAATGAGGAAACTTGAGGAATCTCTACTTTTTGGAGGTGATGTAGGAAGCCAAGCCAATGGAAAGGCCTGAAATAATAATGTAATGAGATATTATAATGAGATAATATAACTTAGGCACAGTTTAAATATATTGAAATGATTGATATAGTAACACAAGTATTTCAGCATAAAAGGAAGTAAAAGACTTCTTGGTCACTAGCAGGATCATTCTAGTAACAAGCGTGCTTCAGCTCATTAATCCGGTAACAATGCAGGCACTATTCCTGCCATTTCGAATCTATTAAATATATTTAATATTAACATTTGCATGTGCCATTTGCATATGGCTATCTTACCAGCTGCTATCAATTCCGGAAGGTCAACAGGAATTAAATTGACGCTACAGGAATATAAAGATGACTTTTAATTTCCAAATCTGATTGAAATTTGGAAATTCTCAATTCTGTTTCACATACTATTTCCAATTATCCTTCCCAGCTGGCCGATACGTCAAAAGAGGTTCCTGCTATTCCCACCAGCAATGGGAATACAGGGCTCAACGAGCTGCGCGTTCAGGGGCCACAAAGGCGAATACAAGGCCTGCGTACGGAGAACCAGCACGCACAACCACCTGGCATTCCCACACTGGCAGAGGACAGAGCCTACAAGAGGGGACCCCAAAAAACACGGAATTTATAAAAAATTGTGTATTTATTCTTCCATGTTTAAACTTCAGTCACCTTCAAAGTACTCTCCATTTGATGCAATACACCTATCGAGACCTTTTTTCCACTGCTCAGAACAGTTTTTGAACTCGTCAATTTGGAGGGCTTTTAGTGCTTCTGCCAGTTTGTTCCACTTCTTCCACATCAGCAAAATGTTTCCCTTTGAGGACTTTTTTCATCAGGAAAACAAAAATCACTTGGGGCAAGATTGGGTGAATAGGGAGGGTGAGGCACGGGGGTCATGCCGGTTTTGGTCAGAAACTGCTCAGCGCTCAGCACAATGTGGGCAGGTGGACTCGTAAACCACCCATTGCGAAATGGGCAAACGCATTCCAAGAATCTTCAAAAAAATTCAATGACAAATGCAGCCTCTCACAACAATGCCAGCTGGTACACTGATATAGATGGGTTCCCAGAACACTCACTTAGCGGGGGAAGTCTGTAGTACAAGGGGCCTGCCCCCCAGAAAATAATTCCAGTTCTTTGGGGGTCCCCCCTTGTACTTACTAAGTATCTCCCACTGGCACTGAAGAAATGGAAGCTACATACGAGCTGGGAAACAACAACACACGAGGGTTCCCAGTCACTATTTTCTTTTGCATGCCTTCTACTCAGTGTCAGGTAGACTATTGCAGGTTTTGTTCCTTGTGCTAGCTATCGAAGCTTTGTCCCTTGGCTTCAGAGCCACTCTTGTTGACTTGACTCTTTTGTGGGGCACAGACTGCAGATTGCCAGCTGATACTGCTCTAAGAGTTAACAGTTTTCTCTCTCTCTCTCTCTCTCTCTCTCTCTCACACACACACACACACACACACACTCTCTCTCTCTCTCTCTCAGAGATACACACAATACATGCTACACACATGGACATACCACATACATGCCACCCATGCCTCCACATGCATGCATGCTGACACACCCCACACACGAGCATATACATACTCACAGACACACAGGTACACATGAATATACATGTATACTCAGAGATACCATACACCACCCCCTGCGCACTGGCACTAGATACACTTAAACTGTCATTCCATGCTATCGGGGAGGAAAAGAAAGCAGGACAACATTTTTTAACTTGGAATTTTAATTATGTACATAAATAGCAACATGAGAACAAGAAGTTCTAAGGCTTGTACATTATCTCTAGGTGAAAAGATTTCAGATTAGTCCCTTTGTAGTATGGCGTCACCCAAGATAACAAAGAGGCCTGGTACATATTTCCTGAAGAAGAAAGCCAGTTTACTACATTCAATACTGACTTCTCTTCCATTTTTCGGTAGAAATACTGTTTATTGTGTGGAGTTTCCAATGTTTACCTATAACTAAAAGAAAAAAAATAAGTAAACTGTGCCAGAAAAATAAAAACAACTCTAACATTCTGCATTTTGAAAATGGTTTAGTTTTACAGAGAGAAATCATAACAAATATTCGTATTACCATTATATGACCATGGGGATCATAAGGAACAAGAGAAAAGTGTAATTATTCTCATTGTATAGGCAGGCAAACTAAATACCAGAAAGGTTTTGTGTTTCATCAGCACTACATTCAGATTCTCCACTGGCTGTGTATTGAGCATAATTACATGGATGAATGGATTTATAAATAAAAAAGTAAATGCCTAAAATGCACAGCAACACCGCATCTCTCCCTTTTCAACTGAACAATCCTATTTCCGTCTGTCTGCTGGAGGAGAACACGATTACATCACTGGCAGTCTGACATCTCCCTTTCCTCACATCACCCATCATTCTTTTCTGGAATGAGATACCCGGCAACCCAAGGACACACCAAAGAGAAACCGGCTCTTCTCCATATTGCTTTTTCCTAATATATAAAGAATCTATTTAGCAATTAAAGGTTTATAAATATTTTAGAGCCCAATGACTGCTCATTTGATTTTTAAGATAAAACCAACAATTCTTAAATTAAACATGTACATCACTAGCTTACCTTTTCTATTTCAGTTTATTAATCTCTTTTGGATTTCTCTAAGAATTCAACAGATTTACTGCATAGCTCAAAACTACAAACTAGAAACAGCCTGTATTAATGAGGATTCAATAGATCATGGTAGTCCATACTAGGAAATTATTATGTAGCTAAAGGAGGAATAAGATAGATCTGTAAATATCAATAGGGAAAGATGTACACAATACATTAAATGAAAAAAGGCAAGTTCATTAATTCAAGACAGTTAAACATAGCTCTGTCTATGTAGCATTCTTACCAAAAAATTGAACCTAAATCTGATTAAGACTTCAGATCCATCAGTTTATGGGAAGTGCAGAGAAGAGAAGGTCTAAGAGATAAACAGAATGACACTGAATGGATGCACTCAGCCAGGGCCACAACGTAAGTAAACCCAGGTTTTCAACAAATAAATGGCAAGGGGAAAATGAGGGAGAAGGAACTATTACCGTTTAAAAGGGACTTAAGAGACCTATCAGTCAAATGCAATGGGCTGATGTTCTGTAGATTCTGATTCAAACAAATCAAGTGTATAAAGTTATTAGTTATTAATGAGACAGCCAGGGAAATCTGCATACTGTCTGGATATTAGATGATATTAAGGAATTAGTGTTAATTTCTTTAGCTGTGATAATATAATTGCAATATGCGCCCTCATGGAGCTTTCAGTACTCTTGTAGAAAAATACAAGGAGTATGATCTCCTATCAAAAAACCAAAAGCATGTATGGATGCACAGTTATACATAGAAAAAAAGTCTAGAATGATATAACAAAAACATTAACAGAAAGTTCCTCTGAGAAAAAAACAGAAGACAAAACAAGCTTTAAAAATATTTACCTAGGCCCTGACCAGTGTGGCTCACTTGGTTGGGTGTCATCCCATAAAGCAAAAAGTCGCTGGTTCTATTCCTGGTTGGGGCACATGCCTGGGTTGCGGGCTGGTCCCCAGTTGTGGATGGCCCGTGAGAGGCAACTGACTGATGTACCTCTCGCACACCGATGTTTCTCTCCCTCTCTTTCTCCCTCCCTTCCCCTCTCTCTAAAAATAAATACATAAAATCTTAAATATTTATCTCAAAAAACTGCTTTACAACAAATATGCATCCCTTGTATATTTAAAAATACATCTCCAGTAAAGCTCTCAAAAACAAAGGATGAAATCAAGGTTGTGTATATCCTAAATTGAACTCTGGCCCAGAACACTTTTGGAAAATGAAATAGATATTTACATAGTTTCCCTTTACTCCATGTCTCATTGTCCCTCTGGAGAAACAGAACCATATTCAATGTAAAGTCTCTGGAGGACAGGCGTGTCTTCCTCGCTGCTCAACCTCTAGTCTCTCTTGTAATAGCACACCGGATGCACATCTGGCCCCACTCACCAGAGATGCCAATTCTGGGATGGGACCTAGGCCTCTGCCTTTTAACCAGCTCCCCAAGTAATTTGTTTGTATAACGAGATTTGAGAACTGCTGCCTTAGGGTTACTATATGAAGAGCTGTGATGTGAAAGAGGATCTGGATTTGTTTTCTATGATCCCTAATGCGGGATCAGGACCATTGTGTTGAAGTTACAAGGAGATACATTTTTCCTTAGTATAAGGAATAGCTTCCTAAAAATCAGAACTATCCAAAGACAGGGCTGCCCTACGGGGTGCGCTTTCTATCAGTGGAGGTAAAAAGTGGGAACACACGCGTGAGGCTGGGAGTTGAGCCAGATGACCCTTCTCAAATTCAAAGATTCTATGATTTGCTGGGTCTCCAACAATATGGAGACAGCCGGAGAGAGAAAGACCTCAAACCTGAGGCTTTCATGAATTTTAAACAGCCACCATAATCTACAATAACTGTCACACTGATATAAAAATCTTTTATTATAAAAGAAAATTCATATTCATTATGAAAATTTAAAGATACAGAAAGTTATGTAAAAGAAAAAATATAAAAATCATCTATAATTCTACTATGACAAGATATGTACAGTACGCCCTGGCTGGTGTGGCTCAGTAGTTTAAGTGCTGGCCTGTGAACCAAAGGGTCATCTGTTCGATTCCCAGTCACAGCACATGCCTGGGTTGTGGGCCAGGTCCCCAGGTGGGGGCATGCGAAGGCAACCACACATGGACGTTTCTCTCCCTCTCTTTCTCCCTCCCTTCCCCTCTTTCTAAAAATAATAAACAAAACCTTTAAAAAAAAGATATACACAGTAGTCCCCCTTATTCGCAGGGGATATGTTCCTAGACCCCCCAGTGGATGCCTAAGATTATGGATAGTACCGAAACCTATGTATCCTATGTTTTTTCCTAGACATGCATATCTATGATAAAGTTCAATTTATAAATTAGGTATATAATAAGAGATTAACAACAACAATAAAATAGAACAATTAGAACAATATACTGTAATAAAAGTTGTGTGACTGTGGTCTCTCAAAAAGGCGCAGCATGAAACACAGGACAAAGGCATGATTCACGTCCTGGGTGGGACAGAGCAGGACGGTGCAAGATGTCATCATGCTACTCAGAACATGTAATTTAAAACTTGTAAATTGTTTATTTCTGGAATTTTCCATTTAATATTTTTGGACCACAGTTTACCACAAGTAAATGAAACCACGGAAATTGAAGTTGTGGATTAGGGGGAACCACTTAAATATTTTGTTGTATTTCCTGGTCTTTATCCTCTCTAAAAATGTATCATACTATCTTTGATTTCCTCCATTTAACAATAATTGTGTACATGTTCCCATGCAATTAAATATTATTAAAACATAATAACATTCCTCTTTATGGACAGACCATGATAAGTCATTTTCTTGCAGTTAAATATTTAGATTGTTTCCAAATTAAATGTAGTTTAATTACCTATGGTCTAAAATCACAAGTGCTACTCTATAACTTTTAATATGTACATAAAATAATATTAATATAACTGGTGTTTTGTACTTAGCAGGCACTCAATGAGTAAATATTTAACAAATGAATGAAAATAAATGGTGAACTGAGTATAAGATCAGAAGAAATCAAACTGATTTTCTGACTTCATCTCATATCATCCTAAATTTCTCCAGCCTCAGGTTACTCGATCTTTAAAGAAAGAATGATTATACCTATGAATTCCCTATGTCAATTACAGTATCTCTATCTAATCTTGAATTTCTCTACAACAGTCATACAGTCAACAAATGTTTAATGAATGACTATTAGATGAGTACAAGTATACTTACTATAGTGAAGCTTGAAAAAAATAAACTTAAGAAATAATGGCATTTTTCAATTGTTTCCAATTGTAAATCACAACTATTGAGTTCTAACTTGTCTAAAAAACCCAGGTACACCTCAGAAACAACCATAATTATGTAAGTCATGGCATTTAAACCCATAAATTAAAGATGGAACAAAATATCATCCTGACCCTATGTTTCCACATAAAGTTGAAACTGTTATAATTAGTTTACAGAATTAAATTTAATTAATTAAAGACAGCTCATTTTAGCTGGTGCTAACAATGCTAAAAATAACCACACAGTTTTTTATTCCTTACCTGATTAAAATGGGCAGAACATGGAGCATTCTACTTATTTCCGGGTGAATTCTTCACATTTCCGGGCTTATAAAACAAAAGAAAGAATATTAGTACAGCTTGAAAGGAAATAGTGAAAGTTGAAAAGAAATGGTGGAACATCTCAAAGGGCCAGTCTTCAGCATTTGGCTGATACAAACACTAAATACTATTATAATGCAAAGTAACTCATTTCTTAGTAAACTTAAGGAATTATCAGTACTAAGGCTCCCGGAAGGCCATGCAGTAGAGAGTGACTTAGGCACAGAAGAGAGCTGGAAACAACGCTCCATCAATTCTCACTATACAGGGTCAGCCGAACAGCTGATTCTATTGAAAATATCGAATCAATAGTGAAAAGATTTCTTTACTACTTCATGCCATGGTCATTGTTAAAGAAGGTTTTACACGTACGGGGATGTGTCCTGTAGGTACTCCACTCTGTGTATCATCCACCATAGGGGCCAAATCACCAAATACGTTTACTCTGAAAGAGGTTATAATCGGACCACCCCCTTTCTGCCGGCCACCATCTGGGAATATATAATTAGGTCATGTCATCCATGAGAAGTGATGTAGCAAAGTTTCTAGTGGGAGAAGTTTATGTGCTAAATGTTTAAGGCCTTACTTTCTTTCATATATGTTTTTAAAACTTTAATTCTTAAAACGCATCAGTAAGACCTGATGCACATCAAGGATCTGAGCTCTCATGACATGGCAACTTGAGGAACACTAGGCTGCAGTTAAGTGGGCAATGGGGCTGTGATTCTGTGGTCTAGACTTGGTGCAGGTTTTCCTGGTGGCCTTCTCTCAGTTATCCACGGGTGAGGGGGGGTGGATAAGGAAGCAGAACATATGACTAATCCTGTAATTTCGGAGCATGGTTTCTAGGCAATGTCAGGCTTACTGGAGTCTTTGCGAACTGGTCCCTAAGCATGGGGAGTATACATCCTGGCTTGTCCATACTGGTTTACACCCATTTTCCCAGCATAATTACTAGTACCGCCCTTTCAAGAGTATCCTAGTTTGGATGATAGATTATATGGTCACCCTATCTAGAGACCATACCCACTTGACAACTGAGTTCTGGGAAACAAGGCCGTAAGTATTGCTTGATGGATCATCTACAATACTCAGGTCCCCTTGGGGCTATGAACAGATTTCGACAGGACTCAATGCCTCTGTGCCTTACTCTGTCCCTCCAGGGCCACTCTGACTCATGTGCGCACACACACCATCCCAGGGGCTTTCTTGCTCTTGCTCTTCCAACTTGCCAAGCTCCTTCCTGGGAGGAGACCTTTGCAAAATGTGCCCTTGACCTAGACTGATCAACCCCAATTTTTCCCTAGCTAAATGCTATTCATCCTTTAGATCAAGGCTTTCCCCTGTCCGCTGCCCTCTGATTTAGATAAGAACCTTTAATTCACATTCACAGCATCCATGAGCTTTCTGATATGTGTAAATATTTCACTTATGTTTGAATCCTTCACTGACATATAAGCTTCATGAGGGCACAATATCCTTAGGACCTCCTAACATGCAGTATTCAAACATTTGTATAAAAAACGTTTGGGTAGGCCCTGGCCAGGTAGCTCGGTTAGCTGGAGCACCATACTGATATGCCAAGGTTGTGGGTTCAATCCCCAATCAGGGCACATACAAGAATCAACCAATGAATGCACTGGTGAGTGGAACAACAAGTCAATGTCTGTCTGTCTGTCTCAAATCAATCAATAGAATTTTTTTTTAAGTTTGGGTATGTAATTAATGAAGAACAAAAAGAGACTTATGGAGATAAGTGAGATAACCATGTCCAACAATTGGGTCTGTCATAAAAACTATGTGATTCTAGTCCTGGCCAGTGTGGCTTGGTTGGCTGGAGCATCGTTCTGTGCACTGAAATGTCACAGGTTCGATTCCCCATCAGGGCACATACCTAGGTTGCAGGTTTGGTCCCCAGTCAGGGCATGTATAGGGGGCAACTAATCAATGTTTCTCTCTTACATTGAAGTTTTCTCTCTCTCTCTCCCTTCCTGTCTTTCTAAAATCAATTTAAAAATCTATCCCCAGATGACAATTAAAAAAAAAAAAAACTACGTGGTTCTCTACCTAGTTAAATATACTTTAGATCCGAATTACCTTAATACAATGCTTGCCGAGTACTTCTAGTACTATTCTTATACAATCTACTATCTATATTTGCCAGGATCTCAATCTCAAAAATATAAGCTGCAAAATTCATAGGCTTTTTTTTTTTTTTTTATCTTTTGGACATTAAGAAAATGAGCCCATGGAAACATTCTTTTGGTTGAGGAAAACAACTTTGTGGCTAGGAAAATGTTTTGTTTGGTTACATACCATTTATAGTATAATAAAACAAGACAGTTAAACATCTCACTAAAGAAATACTGAGCCCACCCACCCTATTACAGATCAGGTCTCTCTTGGAAGAAGCCTTCATGATCTCAGGTAAAAACCAACATTCTGACTTCAAAAGACAGTTTGCAATTTAGCACAAGCCAGAAATAAACTTTTTGCATTTTCAGAGAAAAAATTTTATTTAAAACATGTCATACCTCAATCATTCTCCTTATAATCTAATTTAATATATACTGGGTTTCATTGTTTTTTAGTAATCAATACATTTATTTAACCCAATATACCTAAAATATTATTTTAGCCCTGAGCAGTGTGGCTCAGAGAGCTGGGTGTCATCCCGCAAAATGAAAGGTCTCCGGTTCGATTACCGGTCAGGGCACAGGCCTGGGTTGCGGGCCGGGTCCCTGATTGGGGGCGGGGGTGCGAGAGGCAGTTGATCGACGTTTCTCTCACACCTCGACGTTTGTCTCCCTCTCTTTCTCCCTTCCCCTCTCTCTAAAAATAGATACATCTTTTTTAAAAATAAATATTACTTTAACATATTATCAATATAAAAATAATGAGATAGTTTACATTCTTTTTATTTCTACCATGTCTTCTAAATTTGGTGTGAATTTATACTTAATAGCAGACTTCAATTCAGACTGGCTCCAGTTCAGGCACTCAGCAGCTAATGGCTGCCGCCCCGCACTACACAGAGCTAGAGGAATAAGCTAAAAAGCACTGTGGTGGTTAGTTTTATGTGTCACCTTGGCCAGACTACAGTAGACAATTCATAGTAAAAAAAATCATGTTTGTCCACAAACATGAATGATAATTTCTATTAGCAAAATGAAAACATTTGTTTTAATCAAAACATGTATCTGTAATTAATATGCACTGCCATGTGAAGAGGGATTTTCAGCCAAACCTTTGAGGTACGGCAGCCCCCTGAAATGTCTGAGTCCTCACCAGCTGAATTATTTTGATCTATTAATTAACTTTTCCAAAATGCAGTGTCCTCATTTGTAAAGCTGGGACAGTAACAGAGCCTGCCTCACAGACTCTTCCAGGAGCAAAGACTTTAGTGTCCAGGGCCAAGTTCACAGCAAGCGTTCACTAAACATTACCTATTTTATGTGGTAGGTCACCCAGCTTTTTGGATGAGGAAATAAAAGGCAAGGATAAACACCCTGTTAAAGACCCCAATGAAATTAATGTGACAGGCAGAATAACGCTCTCCCCCCACCCAAAGATGTTTGCATCCTAATCCTGGAACCTGTGGAACCTGTGACTGTGTATTTACACAGTAACAGTCACAGGTTCCAGGATTAGGATAGCAGAGGAGAACTAAAGTGGCACTGGAACTGAGGTTGCTCATCAGCTAACCTGACAATGGGGAGATTACCTCGGATTATCTGGGTGGGTCCAAAGGAATCAGGAGCATTCCTACAGCTGAGAGGGAGGCAGAAGCCAGAGTCGGAGAAGTAAGAAGGGCACAGGACTCCTGGCTTTGAAGATGGAGAAGGAGGGCCACGACCGCAGGAGTGCTGCAGCCTCTAGACGCTGGGAACAGCCCCTCAGCTGAGGGCCAGCCACACAGACCGTGGTCCTGCACGTGCGAAGAACTGAATTCTGTCAACAGCCTGAATGAGCAGGGTGCTCCCCTGGGCCCTCCAGAAAGGACTGCGGCCCAGTTGATACCTTGATTTAGCACCAGACTTCTGACCTACAGAGTCTAAGATACATCTGCGCTACTGTCAGCCAGTAAATCTGTGGTCATTTGTCATGACAGTAATAAAAAACTAAAACACTGCTAGGGAGGACTCGACTAATGGGGATAAGCCCTATGGCTCCCTTTTCCACCAGGAGATGTTATCTTCTTGGGCAGGAGCGAAGATGTGCAGTGTCATGTGACATCTAGCATGGCTGGCATGCTAGAGCCTGTCCGTTTTATGGGTTTCTCACACGGCTAAACTCACTTAATCCTCCGAACAGCCCCCATGAGCTACTACACCCATTTTCCAGGGCTCCGGAGCAACTTGCAAAGGGTTTCCAGTCTTGTAAGAGGTGGGGTGGGGATGGCGCCTCACATGCCCGCTGCGAAGTCCACTCCCGCAGCCTCCAGGCCACGCTGCGTCCTGCCAGGTCCACCTTTTTTGCTATCGAAAGTGTATGTCTTTTGAAAAAGATGACTTTTTTTTTCCAGGATTTCTAACTTGTTATTTTGCTAAGTAATGACATTTAAAAAAAGAAAATCCATTGTCTGGTACCGGTTTTTCTTAGAATTTTAAACAGCAAAAACTAGAGAGGGCACAAATTCAGAACAAATTTAGCTTTAGAGAAAACCTACCATATTGTCCTTATTTTTATTTTTATTTTATTGTGGTGAGAACACTTAACATGAGCTCTACCCTCCTGACAAATTTTTAAGTGCGCAATACAGTATTGCTAACTACAATGTTGTACAACAGATCTCTAGAACATATTTATCTTGCGTAATGGAAACTTTATACCCATTGAACAACCCCCCATTTCTCTCTGCTCCAGCCCTTGCCAACCATCATTCTACTCTCTGCTTCTATGAGCTTGACTATTTTAGATATTTCATGTACATGGAATTATGCAGTATTTCTCTTGTGACTGGCTTATTTCAAAGATGATCATTTTAAATCATTTAAGTCACATAA